AAAACCACCAGTTCCCCGCTGGCCTATCCATGGCCCCACTTGGACAAAACAAAGGCTTTTGGCTCACTCCCTTCACTGTCCCAGCTGGACCCAGCTCTGGGGACAGATGGTGGTAATCCCCAGCCCAAAACACGTGTGCTCCCAGCAGGTCACAGCCCTGCTCCTGTCCACTGACCTGCCAGGGCAGAGCATGTCCACACCATCACCCTGCAGGGACACAGGGCTGTCCCCTGGGCAGGGAGGAGCCAGACCCTCTGAGGGGTGGCCTGATGGGCAGCAGAGCTCCCACCAGCCTGTGCAGGGCAGAGCAGGAGGCCTGGCAGGCAAGACAGTGGTCTGGGGACAGGACAGTGGTCTAAGGGACAGGACAGTGGTCTAAGGGACAGGGCAGTGGTCTGGGGACAGGGCAGTGGTCTGGGGACAGGGCAGTGGTCTAAGGGACAGGGCAGTGGTCTGGGGACAGGGCAGTGGTCTGGGGACAGGATAGCTGGGGCTGCACCACAGAAGTGCTTCAGCAGCACTGCTGGCACACAGAGGTCTGGTCCTTGTCCCCATCCCTGCGTGTTCACTTCCCCCCTGGGCTGGACACGCAGGCACACAGGCAGCCCACGCTGCCAGCTGGCCCAGGCTAAAACCAAGCCTGTTTTATCCTCGTGGCTTTTAGCAGGAGCAGCTGACAGCTCCTGCAGTCCCTGAAAAGCAGAGGGGACAACTAACAGTGACACAGGAGAAGGTGTGGAGTGGGAAGCCTGTAACCAGCCATATCAAACTGCACTCACAGCCCTGTGGCCTCTTAAATCCAGGTTTCTGTCCCAGCCCCATCTCCACGAGGTCTGTTCTTTCCACTCTGGCTGCTCCCACACCCTCTCTGAGCCAGCCAGCTCCTGGTCTGTCACAGAACACTTAACTCTCAGACAGCTTTGGCTTTGCAGAATCCCAGCCTGATTCCCTGGGCTCTGTTCATCCTTGACCAGCCTCGGGGGTCTGTGTGGGGCTCCAGCAGCAGCAGCCAGATGCCAGGGGCTGCCTGGGCACAGCCTGCACCACTGGGACCCTGCCAACATGAGGACAGTCCCTGGAGCCTCCCAGCCGCCTCCAGTGCAGATTCTGAGCCGAGAACCACTTCCCAGGCATCCCCTTTCCCTAACTGACCCACATCTCAGCTCTGCCCAAGCTCTTCTCCATCAGAGACGGGGCAAGTCCCCACTGCTTCCTGCCTCCCTTCCATAGCCATCCTGATTCCCATCAAAGCATCAGTGATCACAGCCCTTCCTTCCCGGCTCCCCCACCTTTCCCTGAGCTCAGAGTCAGCCCCGGGGCCCCCACAGCACCCCAGCCTGTCCCCACAGGACCCCAGTTCAGGGTGCACCTGGCTGAAGGGAGGAAGGGAGCCTGGGGAAAGGGAGAGGTGGCTGAAGGCTTTGAAGCTCAATCTATTTCCCTGGGATGCAGCTGGGATTTATGGGCTCCATGTGCTGTGAGGGCACCCCAAGGGACCAGGCACCACCACTGCAGGGCTCCAGGGATGTGGTGGCTGCTGGTTTAGTGGGGAGGGTGTTCCCAGAGCCTCTTCACCGTGGAGAGTCTGTCACGACAAGGGGTGTCTGCAAACCTTCCCATCCTTCCCAACCAGAATGCAGACCCAGGCAGGGACAGTGTGGCTGGTCCAGCCCCAGAGCCCTTGGGGTCTGCAGAGCCCAGAGCTGCCCCTGCAGACTCTGCCACCCTGGGAAAGGGTCTCCAGAGCAGGAATGAGGGGATGGCTGCAAGGAGAAGAGGCTCCCTGGGAGGCACCGGGGATCCGGGGGGCTTCGCACGCTCCCCCCGCAGTAACTCCAGCTCGAGTGGTGTGTAGTCATAGGAACATCACTTAACACAGTCACCTTGGAAACCACAGCTCCACGCTCTCCTGGAGCACGTGCAGGGCCCTGTGCACCCCAGGTGGGGTCCCTGCTGCTGCACCACCAGTCAGCAGGTCACGCTGCCACCCGGGGCCAGCGGGGACAGGGACAGACCTCTCCTCATCCACAGCACCACAGGAGCAGCTGGGAACCACCCCCAAGAGCGGAGCAGGGAGTCAGGCCCTTCCAGGGACTCACAGACACCCTGGATGGGCTGTATCTCCTCCCATCCCACAAGTCACTGAACAGCTTCTCACATGGAGCAGAGCAACACAACTCCCACACGCACACTCCCAGCCCACCAGTGCAGGAGAGGAGCATTCCTGGGTCAGACACATGTGAGGGTAGAGCCAGGAGGAACAAAATCCTGGTGCCTGGACAGGCTGGCAGGGCACATTTGCCCCCTCCATGTCCCCACACCACCACAGGTACGCACAGCCCGGGAAGGTGGCACAGTCCAAGGACGAGTAAACCCAAGCACGAGGCTCCCACACCTCCCACCCTCTTCCCAGCAAGCTCCTCTGTGTTCCACAGCAGGCACAGGCCCAGGGCAGCACAGTCAGGTAAGCACCCAGCCCTCAGTGCGTGGGCACTGCCAGTTGTCAGGATGATTGTCCCGTCCCTGATTCCATCCTGCCCCACCAGATCCAGCTCGGGAAGAGCAGGACACAGGAGGAAGCAGGAAAGCTGAGGACCTCCAGGAATCACACAATCCCCAAAGCAACCTGGACCACCCCCTCATCATCATCATCATCACCACCAGTGGGGTCCCACCACTGTCCCCTCGCTCAGCCACACCTGCCATGGCCTTGGCCCTGCCAGGCACAGCCCCTGCCCTTCCCAACCCTCCCTGCCCCAGCTCCAGGCCCAGCAGCAGAGCAGGACCCAGGGCTGCCAGTGCTGAGCCCAGGAGTGTATTTCTCACCTGTTCCCAGGTATTCAGTGCTGCCCAGGTGCAGGCACTATCCAGAGCTGGTGGTGGGGTGGCTTCCACCCCAGAAAAACATCCCGCTGCCAGCAGAGCCCCGAGCTCCAGCCTGGACACCCCGCTCAGCCTCCCCTGCTTAGCCCTTAGGTAAGCGGATAACGCCGCCTCCATCTGTTTGTCTGGCACTGAGACACTAATTATCCCTGGCATCTTCCCCTCCCTGCACCCCTGCCCGCCCTCCAGCCTGTCCCACCCTGCGGAGGCAGCGCAGGGAAGAGCTGCTGCACCGCCACAGCCTCCAGGCAGCCACGGGGAGCGGCTCAGCCACAGCCTCCCCACGTCCCACAGACCTGCAGCGGGCAAAGACAACCCTTCCCCTGCAGGACTAAGAACAAAGCCCCACGGCACGGATTGCCCAGCTCCACGGGCGCTGCTCCCGCTGCTCCCAGAGGATCTGCTGTCCCGCTGCAGGAGGAGGGCTGGGTGGTCACACTGGGCAGTGACCACAAATGCTGCTGCCCCAGCAAGGAGGCCTGGGCCCTGCAAGCCGTGGATGTGCTCTGGGCCCGGGCAGGATTGATGTCACCGAGCACACGAGGAAGAATGGCTTGGATAGGTGCCCGCGTCTCAGCGCAGACACAGACGCACATTCCACGGCCGCACCTGCCCCTGCGTCGGCAGCTGGCGCTCCCAGACCTGGCACAGCCCCGCAGGGGAGCTCCCCTTGCAGCTCCCCAGCCCTGCAGCACCTGGAATTCGCAGCGTGGAACGGCACAGGGAACACGCAGCGCGGCCCACGCGGCACGGCCCACGCGGCACACCCAGCCCCTGCCTGCCAACACAGCGCGCATCCCACGCGCCTCAGCCCCCCAGCACCTGCAGCATTTACAGCCTGAAGTGGCAGCGCGTTCCTGGGGGGCCTGGAACGAAGCCACAGGCTCTGGGAAGAGCCCTCTGGAGCCAAAGAAAGCCCCCTCTGTTCCTGTGCATTAGCATCTCGCTTCCTTTGTTTCAGCCCCCGGTTTCCAAGACTCCATCCCGAAGCCTGACACACACACACAGCTCGCTGTGCTCCACAGCTCAGCCCCCCTGGGGCACGGGGAGAAGGGGCTGGATGAGGCTGGGAGCCCCTGAGCCCCACAGAGGTGTCCCTCGCTTCCCTGCTCATCCCCACCCTGGGCTGGGACATGGCATCAGCAGCAGGGAATGGGACTGGCAGGTCACAGCCTGGGGACGAGGCCAGGAGCTGAAGTCCCGCTCCCCTCCGAGCCCCAGCACTGGCTGCACCGGGTGGGCAGGGGGTGGGATGTGCTCCAGCCGTGCACACCTGGAGTGGGAACAGCCTCAGCCAGACCCTCCGTGTGCAGGAGCCGGCGGGTGCTGTGCCAGGGAGGGGTTGGGGGCCCTGCTGGGCACCACAAGCCCCTGTGGGGAGGGAAGGGAGGAGCTCAGGGAGCACACGCAGGGGCCAGGGCACGGCAGGGCCCGGGGTAGAGACTGGGACAGCCCAGCAAAGAACACACTGTAGGGAGGGGATGGACCAGCCAGATCAAGGGGTTTGTCCTTTGCCACCTCCCACCCCATGGGACATCCCTCCCCTCCCCTTGCCCTGCGGTCCCTTACGGCTCAAGCTGCTTCATCATCACCATCACCAGCCACAGCAGTGCTGGGGACAGGCAGCACTTCCAAAGGGTCCTGTGTCCCCAGGCAGGGCAGGAAAATGCCCCATTGCACGAGGCAGCATCCGAGCAGCCAGGGCTGGAAGAGGCAGCCACGCCAGTGGGATGTCCAGGAGCCCTCCTGTCCTCCCAGACCTGCCCCAGACAGAGATCCTGCATCCCAGCTGGATGGGCCTGGGGGACCTGTTTAACCAAGTCCCCATCGAGACCTGTCCCCCAATGCCTCCCCACAGCACATGACGCAGCAGTGACCTACCCTGACTCATTCCTGCATTGCTTGCACACATCTGGCACGTCCTGTCCCCTCCAGCCTGCGCCCTGCCAGCCTCTGCCAGCCCCATTCCTGCTCTCAGCTCTCCACACAGCCACCCCTGAGCACCAAACCGGGTCCCAGACAGGCCCCTCGTCCCGGGACAAGGCTGCAGGGCCCTCACCAGCCCATCTCTCCCTCTCCTCCCATCAGGAGCCAAAGGCAGAAAGGGAAGGACTTACCTGAAATGACTGTCACGGACAGGGGGTCACAGCGCTCCCTCTTCATCAACCTGCAGATAAGAGAGAGCAAGGACAGGGTCAGTGCACCCACAGGGACCTCGGGAGGCTGGGAATGAGAGCATTCCCAGAGCACACCTGCTGCAGGACAGCAGGGACAGGGAAGGTCGCTCACGGCACCGGCACCGGCCAACCCGCCACAGCAGCACATTCCCACCCAAGGTGAGACACTGCGCCCCAAATCCTCCTGCCTGCACAAGCACAGCCTTCTCCTGAGCCCTCCTGCCCACACAAACCCCTCCTCACCCCCTGGGCAGGCACATCTGCTGCCCCCAGCCAGAGCCACAGGGGCTGTGCCCCCTGCCCGGGCAGGGAGGGCTGGCAGCCCCCATCCCTGCCGGCCCCCCCAGCACGGAGCAGGGAGACTGTGTGAGAGGGGAATGCCTCTTCCAAGGGGATAGCCCAGGCATGAAAGCCAGGGAAGATGGATGCAGCCACCCTGGGTCAGTGGGGATCCTCACGCACTTCTCCTGCCCTGGGTTAGCGGGGTCTGAGCACCTCTCCCACCCTGGATCTACAGGGTCCTCCAGCATCTCTCCCACCCTGGATCTACAGGGTCCTCCAGCATCTCTCCCACCCTGGATCTACAGGGTTCCTCCAACATCTCTCCCATCCTAGGTCAGTGGGATCCTCCAGCACCTCTCCCACCCTGGATTAATGAGGGTCCTCCAGCACCTCTCCCACCCTGGATCTACAGGGTCCTCCAGCACCTTTCCCATCCTGAGTCAGTGGGATCTTCCAGCACCTCTCCCACACTGGGTCAGCAGGTTCCTCCAGCACTTCTCCCACCTGGGTCAGTGGGATCCTCCAGCACCTCTCCCACTCTGGATTAATGGAAGTGCTACAGCACTTCTCCCACCCTGGGTGGGCAGGGATCCTCCAGCACCTCTCCCACCGTGGGTAACAGGGTTTGTCCAGCACCTCTCCCACCATGGGTCAGTGGGATCCTCCAACACCTCTCCCACCCTGTCTCATCCACTCCCAGGCAGAGCCCTGACTGTGACGCAGCCCCAGGGCAGTCAGGCTCCAGCTGAGGTACCAGAAGTCCTTAGGGTCAGTTCCCACACAGGGTCAACCCTCTTATTCCCTCCTTTGGCACAAGAAACAGCGCCCAGCTGAGCCCACCTCCAGACGACGACACCGCGAGCGCCCCGGGCTAAATTCAGGAACAGCTCCGGGCATCCAGCAAAGAGGAAAGTGTATCCATCATGCCTCTGCTCTCCTGCGTGCTGCAAACGGGCATGCTCTCTCTCCTCGCTTCTCATTAAAGATCCTTTCTGGGTGAGTGGCTGAAATGGCTGCTCTGTTGTAGAGAATTAAAAATGTATGACTTGGGATTTCTCGGAGCGCGGCTGTTGTGCCGCAGCTGGGGGGGGTGGGGGGGACGGGAAGGGGCAGTGCCAAGGGTCCCGTTTTTGCAGAGAGCTCCCGGCGTGCCCACGTGGGCGCCACCAGCCTTTAAACATTTCCTAAGGTGTCCTCCACCCTCCCCGGGGAAGGGGGGGTCGCAGATGCACCTGGAAGGCTCAGCCCATTGTGTGGCTCTGTAAAATGACGCTGCCCAGGTCCCAGAGGGGCCGGGGCGGGATGCTCCGGACGCAGCTGCCACCACCCTGCTGACTGCTGGCCAGAGGAAACCTCACAGGACACCTGTGCCTTGAAAACAGAGGAAACCGAGCACATCTGTTTGTGCAGGACCTCGACAAAACGGCCCAAGGCACGATCGTGTCCTGCTGGGACACCGAGTGACCTCAGGGGGCTGAGCGGCTCTCTGGGAACGGCGGGCAGGGCAGGAGGTGGGACAGGGGCTGTGCCTGCGGGGACATCAAACCTCCACGAGCACAGCCCAGCAGGGCTTAGGGATGAGGGAAAACACCTATGGATGCACAGGCTGGACATCCTACACAGCCCCTGAAGGGTGCAGGGCTGAGCACCACGGCTGCCCATGGAAGCACAGATCCAGGGGGACTCCAGAACAGGAGGCAAGAACAACCAAAGGGCAAGAAAAACTGTCACAGGAAGGAAAAGGAAAGAGCAGGGATTGCTGCCTTAGAAGGAGGCAAATAAGAGGGGACAGAGATAAAAGGCTGTAACATCCTGAGCACTCTGCAGAGAGGAGATGATGCTCCTGCTCTTTTCATCTGGTGGCGTGAGGGGAACGGAAAATGCTGTGGGATCTCACACTGAGGACAGGGAAGGAAAGGAAAGGAAATACTTCTCCACATCACCCGTAAGGAGATGGTGCAGCTCTCTGCCACAGGAAGCCCTGAGGGCTGGAAAGGTGCGAATTCCCAGCCTGATCCAAAGGTTTCTGTGGGTGAGGGCACCAAAGGGTGGCTCTGAATGGCCCCAGAGCACGGGATGGCCCCAGCACGGGATGGCTCTTCCTCCTGGGTCTGTCTCCATCCCACCCTGACCCCCAGAGCAACACAACAGCCTGCTGGGCCCCTCCTGTGCTGGCCCATCTTTGCTGCCCTCAGGTGATGGACATTCCCATTGGAATGTCAACCATGGGAATACACATCCAGCACTGTCAAAGGCACGGGAAGTGGCTCAGGAGATAAATTAAATGCTTATAACATGAGCATCTTTTCCCAACCCTGCTAACGGGCGAAGAAGAAGATTTATGAGTTTATTATTGGACCTGATAAATTAAACTCTTCAGAGGAGAATAAATTATGCAGATGATCTGCGATGTATTTAGACTGCAGCTTGCACAGCGCCAGGATCCCAACCCTCACAGTCCCTGAGGATCCTGCTGTCTGTGGAGCCAGAGGGGCCTTGTTCAGACTGGCAGGGAGAGCTCCAGGGAGGCTGTCATTCCTCTTGTTCCTGAACGGCAGTTCTGCCTTTTGCTTGCCTAAGTCTGACTCTGTTCTCGCCCATGTCCGAATTCCCCGTTTCTCGTGGAGCTCCTTCCCTTCCCGGGACACGAGGCAGCGACTGCAGGCTCCCAGTAACACAGCAGCTGGTCCCCAGCCATCTCACAAGCATGACAGGATCAGAAATGACAAGTCAGTGGAAGTAAAACTGTCCCCAGGAAGAGCTGGGGAGCATCTGGAGACTCCTCTCCATCCCAGGAAGGGTGTGGGAGTGCAGGGACAGGCACTGGGGGGGTTATGCTGTGGCAGATGGGGCACACACAGAGACCTGGGATCGGGGTTTGTACACAGGGGACGTGCCCTTTTCTGCCTCCTGAGGTCTCCAGGGGCCTGATCCCACAAAGGGACAATGCCACAAGGATGAGAAGTGCAGACAAAGCCTTCCCTGGCAGCAGGGCACCCACAAACCCAGGCCCAGGGCTGCAGTGCCACGGGCAGGACATTGTGCAAGACCAAACTCAGCCACTGGTTCAGCCAAACCACAGCCAAGCTGCCCCTGTACCACGGCACTGCCAGGGCCACAGGCCCGTGGGACTCGGGCTGGAGGTGAGCAAACAGTCAAGGTGAGCTCCAGCACGGCCATCGTGTCCCAGAAGGCTCCTGGGATCCTCTTGGGGTCCTCCTGGGGTCCTCCTGGGGTCCTCCTGGGGTCCTCCCGGGACCCAGAGGAGCAGCAGACACGAGGAAGGGGTGCAGCCCCCAGCCCCAGGAGGACACACCCTGTACCCCCACGCTCGCTGGGAGCTGTAGTCCCTTCCAAGGCCAGGAAACATTCCATCAGGCTGCAAGGACAGGGCTGAGGCTCCTCAGGGCAGGGGAAGGTCCCTAGCCAGCCCTGCCTGTGAGCAGCTTCCGTCAGCACCGAACAATAGCGGCCGGGGCCAAGTCCTGACCAGGCCACCGTGCTTCCTGCCATTCTTCACACTCCCCTGAGGATTTCTATAAAAAGCAGAAGAATCCAGACCTGGAAGTCTAAATCACTCCTTAAATAAGCCAAGAATGCCAGCCTCTCCCAGGGGAGGCAGCTGCAGGGAGGTGGGACCCAGCTCAGTGCTCTGGGCTGGGGGACAAGCTGGGGATGGGGCACAGGGCGGACTCGATGGGCTGGGAGGTTTTTTCCCCAGCCTAAATGATTCTGTGGTTCCATGAAAGAGCAATCCAAAGCACTTGGCCCTTCCCAGCAGCTCGGGCTGGAGCACAGCACGCTGGGGCTGCAGGAGGCTGTTTGTGGGGGCACACGTCCTGCCCAGGGCTGGGGGCTGGAGGGCGTGGGGTGGAGTGAGGAGGGGGCTGGGGCAGCCTGGGCTCCCCTTCCCCTCTCTCAGTGTTCCAGGGGGCAGCCTGGGCTCCTCTTCCCCTCTCTCAGTGTTCCAGGGGGCAGCCTGGGCTCCCCTTCCCCTCTCTCCATGTCCCCACCCAAAGTGCCGGCGCAGCCCCCGCCGAGGCCACACAACACCTCAGCGAGCTGCTGTCAGCGAGGGGAGGACGAGCTGCTGCCAGAGAAGGCCCTTCAATATTTAATGATAGAAGAGTCTGCTGATCGACCTCCTTCTCGGGTTTCCAAAGTCCCCACTCCCTCCCCTCCCCACGGAACGGGCGGCCCCGGCTGAGGCACCGGCACCCCCTCCCCACGTCTGGGCTGATCCTTGAGAGACTTCCACAAAGCCAGCGCTGCCTCCCCTTCCCACGCTGCCAACGGGAGCCAAGACACCCGTGAACCAGAGCTTTTGCCTGTTGTCACAGTTACAGCAGCTCAGCTGCCTTCGGGAGTGGGATGGCAATTTACTCTTTGTACTCGTTTTAGCTGTGCGGCCTCCCCCTGCTCCAGCTCTGCCGTGGCAGAGGGGATTCCACCCCACGAGGCTGCTGAGCCCCCACTGCACCCCACAGCTCCTGCTGCTCATGGCCCTGGTGCCAGGGGAAGGGCTGGGCCACCACATCCCACCTTGGGGCTGGGGCTGGAGGAGGACAGAGGAGCCTGGAGTAAGGCAGGGAGTGCCTCGAGGAAGGGGAGCTCAGGCAACCCCCTGGAACACAGAGAGGGGAAGGGGAACCAAGGCTGCCCCTCTGGAACACTGGGAGAGGGGAAGGGGAACTAAGGCTG